CGTTACAAAATTTCTCTACTCGGAAAAGTGATTTCAAAGTTTTTCAAAAAATGGGGACAGAAAAAAAGGGAACCAACCGCATCGAGTTCTAATGATTTATTTCTCTTCTTAAAAGTTGGTTTTTTTTAATATTCCCCCGCGAAAATAGAATTCATACCAGGAATGGAAAAATGGCTCGATCAAACTAACCCAAAAAAAAGTGTGTTACACGAATAACGAAAAACAAAATTTTCGCATGTCAAAATTGGGATACAGAAGTTTGGATTGCAGACCTCGCAAAATGCAATGCGGAAGTGATGTAAGAAACCGGAAACAAACGTTTGTACACACAGTGTGCTTTAATAAAAAGGAGCTAGGGTGAGTAGAGAAGTGGAAGGGAAGCGTAGTGAGAATTTGTATTTTTATTTTACTTAAGCTCATGCCGACTCCTATTGTTTTTTTTTTGTGAAAAATTTCGGCGTTTTTTCCTTCCAGAAAAAGCGAGTCAAAAAGCGCGGGATTTTATTTTTTATTTTTTTACGCACGGTCGCCCGAATATTTTGAAACAAACACTTTTTTGCAGGTTTCGTCTTCCAGAATTTAATTGAATTTCTCGACTGAACAGATTGGCTTTCGTTCCAGAAACCCAGAAGAAAAAGCAGAACCTTTATTGTTCTGCTTCGTTCGAGCAATTTTCACTGCGGCACTCGCACTTGGGTTGTTACGAAAAAAGCCGATTATCATTCACCCGTCTCCTCGCCATTCAATTTACTTTCGCTTTTTCGCGCCGGGAAAAGTCGGGTTAATGAAGAATTCCCACAGTTTTCGAAAATAGAAAGAAAAGGAAAAAATAAAATAGATGAATTAAACAGGGAAGCTAAGCCTCAAGTGTACAAAACAAACGACTCAACGAAAGACAATGTGACTAAAAGTTCGGGCTCGTGGAAAGAACAAAGACTCTCAAGATGTCCACGTTTTTATTTCAATACTTTCTCTTGGTTGTATTATTGACGCTGACATTTAAAAAGTTGTGTCTAATTTATTTTAAGATTTGAATCAAATGATTATGTGTATGTAATGCTCTTGTTTTTGGTCCGCCACATTTTTTTCTATTTACAGTATTTATTTTTCATTTGAACTTAATCCTGAAGATCTTCTCTTTTCCCCTTCACAGACGAGGATGTGAAATCTCGAAATTAGATCATTGTAATACTTTTTTTCATTCTATCAAAAAAATTCGGAAAACCATAGCACTGCTTTGCTTTAGGAATGTTGAACAATGGAAGTATTTTCTCTTCGCATGTCACGAGATAAGATAACAAACTTGAAACTGACTTTACAAAGAAGAATGAGTCATAATTTTTTGCCATTGGATACTTGCAAAAGAGGGTTCACGAAAAATTAAAAGCCACCGAAATGAACTGATGTGAGTTTTTGATTCAATGAATAGTCGTAAAAGCCTTTTCCATCATTTTTTTTAGTCACAGCGTGTTGGAATTTTTTGAAAAATGCTTGTTGACCAACTTTTTTGTTTCTTGACTGAAGGATTATTTGCATGAAAGAAAATTTTAACTAGGGCTTCACTGTGTCCTTTTGAATGAACATCAGTGTCTATAATGGGGTTCCATTGAGAAAAGATATGACAGTAGACGTTATGCATTGCAAGAAAATAATGTACTCAAATTACCTTTTCAATATTTTTATAAATTTAAAATATATACTTGTTGGATCATATTTTGTGCACTGAATTCACTGGCTGTCGCTTCACTCGCTTGGTAAAACACTGTAAAATAGTAAAACCGCACAAAATGGAAACGTTTCTCAAAATAAAATGGATTCTCTGCCCGCATTCCTGACTCATAGTTGTCAAAGTGAGTTATTAAATGTTCCAGCCAACACCCAAACTTGTTTCACTCTGCTGCTCATCTGAGACTGAACCACAAACGCAGAAAGGGAAGCAATTTTATCTGAACAAATTCCTCAGCTGTCTTTAAAAACATTTGTTGAAGTGTGTTGAATTATGTTTCACTCATAACATCAAATGTTATCTTTGCATGTATCACATGTCCCATATGTAAAAACATTTAGCACAATCTTTCCTAAGCAGAATAAAAAAATAAAAAATGAATGGATGGGTGGGTGTATGCAACATACATGTAAGATGTCCAGTTTTATTTTGTGGAGTGTGTTCTCTTTTATTTTTGTCATTCATTTGTGCTTTGTTTCATGCTTTGAAATGATTGAATGTATTTGGGGGAGTTGGGTAGGGTGGGGAGGGGGTTTGGATGCAGGAGTTCTGGTTATCCCTTGTGAACGCTGAAAAGTGGCAAATAAAGTTTTCTGTTCATTCATTCATTCAAAAAATAAGATTATTTGCTGGACTGTTTGATACTTGCAGCAAATTCATATGAAAACTATGCATTACAAAATATGGTTACTATGTACAGTATTTGTATGTGTGTGTAACAAGGTATTTTGAAATAAACTTACACTCTTACAGTATATAAGATAAGGTGTGTGCCCAAGTCCTCAGAGTGAAGTGGCAAAATATCTTCATGTACAATTTTTCTGCAATTTTGATATATTTTCCACTACAAAAAATGCTTGTTTCCCTGACTCAAAACCTCTCTAACTGGATTTCTTTCTGGTTCCTTGAAATTTCACTGGAGGAGAGATTCAATTTTGCACTAACACATCACCCAAAGTCTTCTGAAAACGTTCCCTCAAAATCAAGTACAGTTTCCATCAGTTCACAGACACAGACACACTGTTTCTTCACTTGACTGGTAATTTGGGATAAACCGGAGTTCCCTGGCCTTTTTGGGCAAGCAGATTGGTAGATTTCCACCAATTTTTTGCTTGAAAGACTTTATGGCAGACATTTGAAAATGTTCTGCTTTTTTGCACAAATTAAGAACTGATGAAGCAGCTATGTAGTACTGGTATAAAAAAATAGAAAGGTGGGCTGGAAGAAAGGTTCCATGAAAAATAATTATTTCAGCAGATGAAAATTTGTCTGAAGTGCTTTTAGGAGAAAAGCCAACTTCTATTTTTCCATCAGATAATTTAAATTGCCATTGTCTTTTCAAAATTCCAGATAAAGAGAACAAACTTTCATTGCTACACTTCTGATAAAGTTTACTATGCTGCAGAAAATGTTACAGGGACTGGCAAACACTGGAATATACTGTACCACACTCATATCTGAGCAGATCAACAAGTTTTTTTTTTTTTAAACTGAAAATAAGCCATGGTTGTCTGTTTTGGGTCGGTCGCCTTTCTGCACTGGCGTTTGAGGGTGCAACGGTAGCGAAGCTTTTGCGCTGGCGCCACATGCATCCGTCACGCTGCTGTGAGCCTGAGAGGTGAAGCATATACCAGGGGTGATTCAGAAAGTTTTCATCAGTTCATATGGGTGGTGTGGAGACTTAACCCCGCTTAACGAATGACTCGTATAATGAACAATCCGCATAAGGGAAAATTTTGCGAGTGAATAAAAAAAATTGGCATATGGGAAATTTTGTCATGATGAAAATGGAGCAGTGCAAGCCTCATTGGTGCTGCCTTGCTGGGTAAAAAAAATGACCCTGTCAGCAAACTTTATAGCTGAACAAACTTAGTGTTTGTGAGTCCCCTGCACTATACTGTACTGCCTTACAAACGTGAATCCAGGTAGGAAATGAGTTTGTGCAAATCCTTGGAATTTCCTTCAAGAAATGATTGGAATACAATACAGTAGTTTAAATCCATCATACAAACATTCTAATGGAGAAGTATGGCACTAGAAAAAAGTCTGTTCATTAGCAGAGACCCCACTCCACCATCCATGGATAGTTTGTGCACTGATTTAAAAACCTCATTCAGGAATGGATTAGTTTTGTTATGTGGGGATCTGCTGTAAAAGAACTGCTTTGGTTAATTGACTTCATTTTCTACAATGGAAAGTATAATTTAATTATGCAGGAATACTACGGTATTTACTTGAGTGCCACTCACCCTTGAGTAAGGCACGCACAGGGGTTTTTCAGTTGAAAATTTTGCAAAAATTGTATCCCCGAGTAAGACGCGCACCCCAATTTTTAGTGAATCTAAAACCATAAAATTTCAAAAATGAAAACAAAAAAATTGACTTTAGGCGTGAATTAAACAGAAATCTGATAAATTTTCAACTTTTTCAATACAAAAATGTTTTTTGTTATATTTGTTCCAAATTTCTCCACTATAATTAAGTATAATGAAAATATAACTTCCTAAAACTTCTTGAAAATGTTGTACCCGCTTATGACGCGCACCCCTTTTTTTCTTCTGAAATTTGGGAAAAAAGGTGCGCGTGTTGCTCAAGTAAATACAGTATTAACAATTGTATCCAACATTGAGATTTTAGACCTGCAAATGCTCTACCCAATCCCAATAACAACAAAAAACTGACTCGTTAGACACCAGTGAGATAAGAATTGGATTTTCATCAGATTAAACTAATGTTAACTGATGTCAAAAGTTTTTTAAAATTGATTTTTCTGGATTTAACCCGTTGTATCAACCATGGAAGCACAGTGAGAGGATGTTGAAAAATTCAATCTTTTTGCCTCTTGAAAATGTCCATACTACAGTGGCCTGCTCCACTTGACTGGGATTTTCAAATGTATGTACTGTTGAGATATGTTGAATCATTAATTGGTTGCAGGCCCAGGGTGCATTTTTTAAATCTGCTGAATCATGTTACAGTGAATCCATTGGGACCTTGTAAATCATTTCTTGTAAAAACAAAAATTTGACAGTGCCATTGAGACCCAGACAAGACACTGGCTATTCTGCAGGGAGCTTCAAATAATTTTTTCATAGCATGATCTGTTTTAACAAAATTCTACTTCATTCTATTTGTTCCCGCCTGGAAAAAAAATTCTAAACACTTGCCCAGATGGTTCTAAAATTGCATCAAAATAAATTCAACGCCCCCCAAAAAAAGGAAAGCACCAAGCTAGCAAAAACTTTTGAACTAACCCTCGTTTGTACGCTCTCACTCGGAACCCAGGTTGCCAACTCGGTGGTTCTCGCCGTATTCTTTTGTGACCTGATGCGAGTCGGCAGGAGGAGAAAAAAAAACAATATTGTACCGCAATAACGATGAATTAAACCTAAAATAAATGAACTAAATAGCTTAAAATTCAGGGTTGGATGGATATTTCCGCTCAAGCATCAAGCAACCAAACAGAGCAGTTAACCTGCGGGGAATTTCGATGATGTGCATGATTAATGATGAAGAAAACCCATCCCTTTTTATGATCATTCATTTTGGCCCATCTGTTATTCGATGGTTAACGCATACATAGGATATATTTATTGCAACCTCGATTATCCGGATTAATGATCCAGTTATCTTCTTCCAGATGATTAAAAATTACGGGTAATCATTTGATTCTTCTTACAATCGCCCTGAATGATTTAGCAATTAGTGTGGGGTG